TATAATAACGTACAATTACAGTGGCCCAAGTAAATGGACGCATACACAAAGTACGCTCAGTGCTACAGGTAAACGAAGTACCCAGGAAACACTGTCATTTACAGGCCTAAAAAAATATAATAACGTACAATTACAGTGGCCCAAGTAAATGGACGCATACACAAAGTACGCTCAGTGCTACAGGTAAACGAAGTACCCAGGAAACACTGTCATTTACAGGCCTAAAAAAATATAATAACGTACAATTACAGTGGCCCAAGTAAATGGACGCATACACAAAGTACGCTCAGTGCTACAGGTAAACGAAGTACCCAGGAAACACTGTCATTTACAGGCCTAAAAAAATATAATAACGTACAATTACAGTGGCCCAAGTAAATGGACGCATACACAAAGTACGCTCAGTGCTACAGGTAAACTAAGTACCCAGGAAACACTGCCATTTACAGGCCTAAAACAACTATAATAACGTACAATTACAGTGGCCCAAGCAAATGGACGCATACACAATGTACGCTCAGTGCTACAGGTAAACTAAGTACCCAGGAAACACTGCCATTTACAGGCCTAAAAATACTTGTTAACTGGACATATCGAAAGATTATAAAACTTACGAATAAATTATCAACTATGCAGGTTTTACGCAAAGTTACAATGAAAGTTAATTCTTTGATCAAATTATGAAACATCCCTGATCCATTTTAGATCATTTTTAGCATGATTTCTAGCGCGTTTCTCGCTCTTTAAGGGTCATTTCATGTCATTTGAATCTTCCCGCCGAAACTCGCAAATACACATACTGACATATTCCCCCTTATTTCGCTATTACAGATCAACTCAAGGCCCACTAAATAATTTACTTATCTCAATGGTGTTCTCTGCAATTTAGACGTAGAGCTTGAGTTCCCTCATCGCTTATATTCATCGAATCTCTCCGCTGAGCTCAACTCTAACGTGATATATAGCTTTCACTGGAGCTGTGTGTTTGGATACTAAACTATCTAGCATATCATGCCAGTTAATCATTACAATCGTGTAAGATTTATTTTTGTTTTAACGACAACTAAATGTCATCGCATGTTCTTCACAGTAGCTATCTAAATAGGATTATAGTGTTTCATGCTGAGAAAATCTTTATCGAGCAAAGCTCGTCATGTCGTGCTCACATACTTCATTGGATAATTCCCAAACTCGATTGGAATCCACTAACTGCGTGGCTTCGTCGTAATACTGGTTGAATGCTTCTCCATTATTGGTCATCATGCAAATATGATCTTTCTTGCCTGGTAGTTGAAGTTTGCAGCCTTCACACGAAGAATTTATCAGTTCCCAAATTTGATGCTCACATAAAGAAGCATATAAGAGAGTTGCAATACCGTTGATATCAGCTCCAGCAAAAAAGAACGTTGAGCCTTTTCAAATTGTTCAATCATAATTCTATCCACTGCACCAAACNTAGACGTAGAGCTTGAGTTCCCACATCGCTTATATATTCATCGAATCTCTCCGCTGAGCTCAACTCTAACGCGACATATAGCTTTCACTGGAGCTGTGTGTTTGGATACTAAACTATCTAGCATATCATGCCAGTTAATCATTACAATCGTGTAAGATTTATTTTTGTTTTAACGACAACTAAATGTCATCGCATGTTCTTCACAGTAGCTATCTAAATAGGATTATAGTGTTTCATGCTGAGAAAATCTTTATCGAGCAAAGCTCGTCATGCTAGGTATTTGATAGTGTTTTATCAATGATAAAATATATTGTAGACTGTTAGCAGCAAGGAAAAAAAGGCTATCAACAATGACAAGAAAGAACTGAGCGCTCACTTTATGCAGACATTGCCAGATCTTTTAGCAAAGGTAAAAATATCACATTTTTAATCAATGCTTTCCATTTATCTTGTTATATATCTTTACTCCGACGAAGGATTAACATCCGAAACGTCAGTAAGTTTTTCCACATCCTTTTTTACGGTGTTAAATTTATCTTTTCACATAACTGTTTCTTTAGAAACACCAACGCAGCTCACACTAGTTTACCGCTAGTTCCCACCATTTTATCTTGTTATAATCTTGTTTTCTTTTTAGTATGGAACAGACAGTGACAAAGTTCTGAGTCTTGTGTCTGTACCCCAGTGCTTTGATCTTGAAGAATATGGGCAAAGAAGATTAGGCAAGGTAGAATAATCAATTCAAGTAGTATTGTGAAGATAAAAGCTATTAATAAATTGGTTTGCTTTCAGTACCTGGATGAACTCCTTAATCAGTTGTCTGGAGTGGTGGAAAAGTTTACAGACAGTGAGGTAATTATTCTGTTTGGTTCATGTAGGGCACTACTGATAATTGAATAGTAAACTCATTTATTTATTACTTATAGATACTACAGGAATGTGCAAAAACCTACAGAATGCTGACAGACAATGAGTACACTCTAAGTACAACAGCTGTAAGTAAGCATATTTTCAACATTTTGTCAAGATTAAATTAAATTGAGGATGGACWCGTCTTCCCAGAAACATGAATACAAAAAATACAATAATATTGCAATAATGTCACACACCACTGGAGCTTATTGTCTAGCTGACTGCATATGCTGACTGCGGTCAAGAGACTATTTTATTGCCATGGATCATCTCACCAGCATTGAGGTTGGCTTGACAGATTGTTCGTATAAGGGTTGCTAGTCAATGAGACCTCATACTAGTATATAGCTATACTTTTATTGGTTAGTTTTGCTTTTATCAATCTCAAAATTTCTAGTTGTTGATAGTGTTATTCTGGTGATGCAAATTATAGCATGACTAGTTTCAGAAAACACCCACAAACMGCCATGAGCTTCACCTTAACACCTTGGTTAAAATTTGTAAATTTTCAAATACTTGCATACTCGAATTAACAATTATAGACTAGAATGAAACTAGTAAAAGTGTGCCAAAGCACCAGTAAAAWAGTAAGGGGGAGCTGTATTTGTGAAATGCACTTTTAAGGCTTGTTTACACTTGCAATTTTTAAAGCGAGATTTTCACGGCCTTTATTGTTCTCCAAGCTTGCAGTTTAACAGTCCTCAACAATCTGGATGTGTTTTAGTTCTGAAGCTCTTAGAAAATGTAAAGCAGGCAGTGTTATAACAATGTTTTCATACCTGTTCCTGTCAAGGAGTTCAATAACCCTAGGTGGTGCTTCTGCTAGCAGGTTTCTACTAGTGGATTCAGATTCAGATATTTCATCCTAATAGGACTAACTAAAAAGATATCAACAAAATRGCAAAGAGAAAGCCAAAAGCTTCCTTACCAAACAGTCCTTCTTTATATTGATAAACAGAATGACAAAGGCAGGTTAAGAGAAAAACAAAATGGCAGCGGTACATGTACGTTCTTAAGTTCATGTTCGATTTTGTATGCAAATTCAGAAACACTTTTATTTCAAACTGGTAATTAGGAATTCATTTAAAGTACAGTAAGAATCTCAAAAAAACCTATTTTGCTCACTTATCTTTTTCTGTGGAAATATCTTAAAATTGTGCAAACAGTCTGAAATATGGGCGAAACAACTTATGTGAACGGTCTTTTATTAGATAGATTGACCTGTATTCAAACTTAGGCGATGGCGGGCAGCAAAAAAAAAWTTGAACTAAAACCCTATCCACGTGACTAAGGACTCTCGGCCCAGGCTGCCATGGTGTGAGAGAAAACATTTTCCACTTTTTTCGTTCCTCAGCCAGTGAAAAAACAACAACTAACTACATTATGAAATATAACTAATAATAATTATAATGATAACAACTATAATATTCCAAATAACTCCTAGCAGTAGATGAAATTAAAGATGTTAAGGTCATAAACAGTGGTAAACAAAACACAATAATTTTCACTGATTAAATTTTCATATTGTTCAGGAAGTGGCAAGAAATAAACTTGTGGACCAGTTTGTTGAATCCTTCAAGAAGAGCCTGAACAAGGGTCTTGATGCTGTATGTGTGAGCTAGTATTAACTGTTTAATAAAATACTCATTAACTGGTGTGCGAATTATGAATATCTCTATAGATGCAATTTTATCACAAACTTTACAATCACAATGGATACATCTTTATTAAAGGATGACGATGAGGACAGTGAAGAAAGATTTGCTTTAATTTCAAGTCTAGAGAAAGTTTGTGCTTTTTACAAGTAAGAGCTGTTTTTACGTAGTCATGTAAACTGCCCCAAACAGGTCAAATTGTGGAGTGTTCTCAATTCACAAAAAGTAACTTTTTTCAATTCTTAACAGAACAATTTGAAAATAGTACTTTTTGCACAWRGGGTATGAAAAATAAACTTAATATACTTGTTGACTTGTTTTTGTTGTGGTTTGTTTTTTATTTTCCAGAGCACATGATCTTGGTAAATGGAAACTCTATGAAAGTCTGCATCAAATCATGGATCGGGCAACATCAGACCAGGACACTGTCTCTGATAAGGTATGTCCTGTATGCTCAGATAATCTGCCCATCCATTCTCTCAGACATCCATACACCTAGTATAGTGAACAATACCACAGATCCCTTTAACAAAACATAATAGTTGTATTGAATGATAAATTACTTGAGTTATTATATCTTAACTTTCCAATAGATTCTTAATCTCACTCTATACAGTATGCAGTGTCTGCTGCTTTGGGCACTATCAGGACTGGATCCAAGTCATCCAGATAAGGTAACAATGTCACCTAACRCTTATAATAAGTTGGGTAACTTTATTTATTAACAAAATAAGTGATGACTTGATTTGGGAACCATTTCTAGCTAACAGCACAGTTTCCATCTAATTGATTGATTGATGGCATAACTATTGATGATAATGTTGTTAGTCACAGCTGAAGAAGCTCAAGAAGTGGATTTCAACCTTTATTAAGCAATGTGAAGAGCTTGTTGGCTATAGTAACATTGAAGTGAGAACAGAGGTACTTTAAAATCTACTTTTTGCTATATATGACAAGGTTTGCAAAGCATCCAGGGCGACACTGAGCCTTTAATCAATAAATGGTTTTCTTGCTATAAAGTTAATGTTTGTTTACTCTTCTATGTAGGCATTCCTGTGCATGTGTGACTTGCTAGTTGTGTTTGCAAAGCAAATTACAAACCAATGTAAGATTGATTTGGTGATTCATCAAATGCAAAAGTATCTTTAACCCAGTCTTAACATATTAGATGTTCATTATGCCTTCATTATTTTCATCTTTTCACAGCTGCACTATTCGCACCACTAATATATGAGGCCAACGTTTCCTTCCAAGCCACTTGTCGTGATTTTATTGTCAACCACATTTTTGCAAATATCACTGAAGATAGTGAAGAGGAGGATGAAGATGGTATGATTTTTTTAAAAACTGATAATTGACATTATTATTTAGTACTTAATTGCTTAGTTATTATTGAGTACCATCCCAAATACATGTAGTTTTATCATAAGCCATTCTTCTTACCATATCTTCATATATATAATATATATATATATATTGTATACAGTACAGCCTTTTGCAAAAATTATGAGAATTGTTGAAATATCTAAATATCATAATATCGAGTGCATGATGGGTAATCCCGCGCGATGCCCTTAGTCCCTTGTCTTTGTAGTTAGTTTTATTTCGGCGACAGACTTATCCGTAGTTCTGAACATTTTCTCGATGTCAACAATGAATTATTCTAGCAAACCCGCGTGTTCGGGACAAAGGGTTTCGCGCGGGATTACCCATCATGCACTTGATATTATGATATGTAGATATTTCGACAATTCTCATAATTTTTGCAAAAGGCTGTAATATGCAGAAATTATGATCATTTAAATATAAATATTTTTATATACATATGATATACAGCCTTTTGCACAAATTATGAGACATTTTTATATATATAAATATACCTAACCAAATATCAAAAACACCCAAGAAATTATGGGATACCGTCGCTGATATTTTGTCATGATTGCCTAGCATCAGGTTGTTACAGACAAAATATCAGCGACGGTATCCCATAATTTCTTGGGTGTTTTTGATATTTGGTTAGGTATATTTATATATATATAAATGTCTCATAATTTGTGCAAAAGGCTGTATACACTTATTATTCTTAGAGTTTTCATCTATTTTTAGCATCTAATATTTATTATATAAATGTTTTATAATTATCCTATTTAACATTGTATGTTGTGCATAACACGTAATTCAATCATAACACTGAAATGTGTTATTTTAATAAACAATATTCTTCTTCTGAGACCAATATGTATAATATATATTATATATATTTCAGAGGATCAAACAGATGAAAAGGTGGAGGAATTGAGTAAGAAGAGAACACTTTTGGCAGGATTTTGCAAATTGATTATCTACAACATCTTTGATATGGGGCTTGTAGCTCCCATATTTTCTTTTCTGAATAAGGTACAAAAACCATTTTTGATAGTAAAATGATTAGATAGATAGATAGCTTTATTTGTAAAGTCATAAGGCGCAGCCCTAAGCATGATTTGCATGAATTTACAAATACTTGAAAATATTAATATAAACCTATAAGTCTATGAAACATTCCAAAATTTAAAAACTTCTACTTATGATTGTACTTGGACAATAAACAATTTACCTTTGATTTATACTCATTTATTGACAGGTCAACTAGGGATACAATTAATTAAGATTACAATATATTCATTTTATCAAGTACCCACTTGAATCAAGCAAAATTATTATTTGTTACATACCAACATTGACGGCGTAGTTCTCGTGGTCACATCACATGTACTAAGCATTAATCTAATACTTGTCAATACTTATCAATCATGTATACCCTTCTAATGTTTGTTAATCTCTAACTAAATCGTTGTCAGCAGTTACAATGATTCACTATTTGCATGAAGTGCTAAACATTATGCATATCAAGTGACACATTCTAAYTTGCCTAGGCATTTGGTGACTTTGGTGATATCATCAAGCATACAATGAACAAATGCAAAGAGATAAACAAGACAACCTATGCCAAAACATTACTGACATCTCTACAGCAGGTATAGCTACAAAACAACCTATGTTTTACTCAAGGTTACTTTGCTTCCTAAAACACTTTTAATTTGTTAGTAGAAATTATGACATCAAAAATGCCTTTTTCAGGAATTTGTTTGCCTCAAAGATGACTTTCAGGGTGAGGTGGATGTTAAGTCAGAAGACTTTGGTCTGATAAGGGTTAGTATTTTCTCTTGACATCCAACTGTCTGGAAGGTGGTGCCGGTGTCACAAAACACAAGCACTGCATTAAGAAATAAAAAAGCACATAATGCAAATGAAGACAAACAGTTTATTTTTACATTAAATTTTAATTGTCTTAAAATATTTTTTATTAGATTTCACATGTACCATGTGAAATGTTGAATATGAGAATAATGACCCAATGTATTGCTCATAGAATACCCAGTTTCAGATATGTAGTGCTATCAATGAATAAGTGTGACTGATATCTATGGCCGATATGAATCACTTACAAGTTTATTGAATACCAATAATAGGACCTCGCTCACAGATTCGCCCTTAGTTTGGGAGTAGACACTACAAAATCACATGCAAGAGAAGCTTTAATTAAACTCCACAGGTGATCACTAATGTTTTCCTATTGAAATAAAATGCTGCACTTGCTGATGAATGGTATTATTAATGTTCATTTGTCTTAGGGAAGGAATACATTATTCACTGAAGATTAATAAACGAAACTCCCCTAGGAAAGGTAGTGGAGGTGTACCACCTAACCTGACATTCCTTGATATCCTCAATGAGTTTACATTTCGCTTGATTCACCAAGATAAAGTTGGAAAAAATGGAGTGTGAGTAACAATATTATTTGATTTGTTAGTGGGATGTTGGCAATTTTTGATAATGCAGTATTTATCATTATCGTGGTTTTGTATAAATTGTAGTTTGCAGTATCTGGAGAAGGAAGCTGGAGAAATGCTTAAAATGAAGGGAAATGATTGGGCCCCACTGATTAATTATAGAGGCAACCTATTAGGCAACCAAGAGGGAGAAGGTTGGTCATTTTTAACAGATTTACCAGTCATGTTACTTACATTTAGGTTGGTTGGTTGGTTGTTACTTTAGAAAGACAAAACTTTTCCTGAGTTTTTGGCCATCTTAAAGAGGATTTCCTGTAGCAATATGAGTAATGATTTAACTACATCAGTGTACATTCTAAATATATTTCTGCACTTTTATTGTTGTATAAATTATAATTGCTGACATTTTGTATGAACAATTGTATGAACAAATGTATACAGTTGTCCATGTGAAAAGTGAAGGTTTTTTACTTTAAGATTATTGCAGCAAAATTATTCAAACACTTTGTTAAACAGTAACAAAGGATTTTTCTTTAGTATCTTTTGTTCATTCCTCCAACATGGCCGCCGGTCTTTTATCTTTTGAATCTCATGGGAATGGGTGAAAATGATCAATTGTGGCATAGATCATAAAAAACCTTGTTAAATGACTCTTAACACAGAAACACAGATCTTTTAAAATCCTTAAGGAGAGTTAATTTAGAGTCAGCTAAAGAAAAAACTAGTCTGAGAAAGATTAGGSCGAGGCCACAGGATGACGGTGATGAGATTGCTATGACTATTTTGCAGACAATGCAGAATCACCCAAACAAGATAAGTCAAAAGGTCAGCGTGGCCGTCCTCGTAAGTCTCCAACACAACAATTGCCAAATACAGGACACAAACATGAATTGACATCACTAGACTGTGATGAAGACAGTGCTGAGGATGAAACACCTTTAAAAAGAGTAAAGAAAGCTCATATTTCAGAACAAATACCACAGGAGAAGGAGATGGAAGAGTTTCAGGAAGAAGGCAATTCATCACTGCAGCAGAAGAGAAAGAGAATGGACTCAGAGCTTGATGAAGAAAGTGAAGATTTTGATAGGTATCTTAGGATCTGAAAGAACTCTTGTCTTAGACATAATATACATAGAAACGTATCAACTTGACACCTTGATTCAATTGTTTTCAGCATTGGTATGCCATCATCTCAAAGATCCTGGCTTTCAAGCCAAAAGAAAGCAAGTAAGAGACCAAAATTAAGCTACAGTAAAAAAGGCAGAACATCGTGAGTATGAAACACCTTCTAATTCGCTCTACCAGAAAGAGAATTTTTTTATTCATCCTTCTTAATAAAACACAAAATTAATATTACATTTTTTTCCTGTTCAAGGAAAGCAACWGCTGTTTTAGTTGACAGCAACCTCCTATGCGCAAAGACATTGCCAAAAACAAAAGAAAGCACACAAAAAATCTTGTCTTACAATAGCCCTACAAATTTACATTTTYTTTATTTTTTATGTTTATTTTTTTTTAATTATTTCTATTACAAATTAATAAAGCAGATTACATATAAAACAAAAAGGATGAAAACAATAGTTTACAATTTAAGGAGTATCATTCTAAGCATGATACTCAAGAAGATTTACAAACCATATCAACAACAAACTAGTTCTGGAGAATGTATCTATGATATTTGGAGAAAATGAAGTTATTTCAGCAGTAGATGAAATTAGTGGAAATGCTGAAATATAAATTTGTCTGTTGACCCTTTGGGATTATGATTTAGGTCCTGACTGACAACCCTTGGTAGGAAAAGAATTAGACTCTAAGTCTTGTGGGAATACAGGCATAATTATCCTTATATCAGATTAGATTCAATTTTTTTTTCTCTGTGCAAGTGACTATGTTGTCTACTAATACAGTGGTCAACTGCATTGAATGGGAAAAGGACTAATTTGATTAAATGTACTTTGTGACATTCCAGGCTAGAAGATGAGAAAGAGGAAACTGAAATCAAGGAATTTGTCAGTGATGAAGATGCAGACGCAACTGAAGTATATGAATCCCCATATGAAGTCCTTTGAAGACCTAAATCATATAGTCCTTCTATCATTCAGACATTCTTTTCAAATCCTTCTTTTTTTTTGTAGTTTCCATTATCTACTACCTTCTTCCTTAAACCATTACYCTGTATGTTTATTCCATCATAAACTTTCCTTTTTGACATCATTTCTAGAAACCACCTATAAAAGTAAGACGAGAACGTCATAAACTTCCAGAAATTCTTTTTGATGACTCAGAAAACAGCAAAAACATGGTAAAGTGAATAATTAGCATTTTGCCCTCAATAAGAGCATAATTGGTATCTTGACCTACCGATATATCTGATATYACCTATGAGTTGATAGCCTTATTTTCTCCTCAGGAAGATGACTTAGATCAACCAGCAATTTAGCAGTCAAGTTTGGTTAATTATATTATAATTGTTTTACATGTTACAGACAAGTCTTTTTTATAATTTTATTGAAAAAAGTCTTTGGAACACTATCACCAACTAGGAAAACCATTGGTTACAACATTCTAAAATAGTTTTTCTGCACTTTTTACATCTGTATTGCAATTTATGTCCTACCCAATGTCATTGACGTCCTTCATCAGAAATATGTAATATAGCAAGCCTATAAATAGCAATTTTTTAATGTGAACTCTGGTAACTTTCTTTTTCTCCTTATTATAGCAATTTGTGCATTGTCTACATACTTTGTTTCAAGTAATAAGAACTTTGTTATATTGTTCTGATGTTAGATGTCACTARTATTATGAATACCTTGGTTCCAGAAGTTTGTCTTGATACGTCTCTGTTAATCACTTTCCAGATGTATTTTAAYGAACCAATCACAGATTGGAGTATTTTTGCTGTCAAACATGTCAAATATACAAACCAATAAGGGCTCATCACTGGCAACAGATCTTATTACTCTGATGTGTGATTGCTTCACTAAAATACAGCATAAAAGAGAGATTGCCAGAAGCTTGGCGTAAAAACAAACCAATTAATAGAAACATCTTGTTGCTTTGCTGCTCGATAACATAGCAAGCAGAAGAATAGAAGRCAAGCTTCTGGAACAAGGGTATATTTTGAAAGGTAATTTAGTGTTTTTACTGAATGTTGCATAATCATGAACTGAACAACATGAAAAGTTGTACAATTGTAAGCACAGGCTTGTTACCAGGCTTATCACCAGAGTTAGCAAAATATTTTTTCGATGGCTAGTTTTCATKTCAACTCATTTCAGTCAGGCATGTTTACTGATTTTCAGATGGGCCTGCCGGTCAGATGCTAGTGTTTTAGCATCTGACACAGGCCTGTCTGAAAATCAGGTTCATGTTCAGTCTGTGCTTGTAACAAAACAGCACCTTAATGCAGAAAACTTGTAGGGTGGTACAGCTATTTCAAAAAACAGAGAGTTTTGGACACTTTGACAGTGCATAGTGTATTCCGTTTCTTGTATTCCAAGGCCAAAATGCATTTTTGGTATTGGACTCCACTTAACTAGTATAAAAAAATGGGAATTATAGTTACTCTCAGATGTWGAAAATCGGTATGCTTTTGTTATCACATGACCATTCTTCAATCGGTATGCTTTTGTTATCATACGGCCATTCTTCAATCGGTATGCTTTTGTTATCATATGGCCATTCTTCAATAAACTTTCTTTGTCTCATTGCATATTAGAGAAAGTCCACCTGAAATACATTAATGCACCTTATGGTACTCTCTAATTGCATTGTTTTCTTTTGTCACAAGTTTAATGACTTCGCTCTAATACCTATGCTTATGATATTGATATTATTAATAATATATTATTTTAGTAAAGTTTTATTTCTTGACTCAATGTTTTTTTGAAATCGATGTCACAGTTCTAAACATGTTAGTGACTTTCAGTTTTATATGTAATTGCTTAGAGATTAAACTATAAATGGAAATAATATGCTTTTGTATTGCAAATGTAAATCTTACCGAATTCATTTATTATTAATTTTTCGGAAGCAAAAAGTTGGGGGGGGGGCGTTATTAGTATCGGTCATAAATTCCCTCTGGAAAAGTCTAACATATATTTACATAAAAAATTCAACATCTATCTAAAGAGTTGTGTTGATAATCATAATAAGCGAGTAGGGAATATAAAATATACAACTAGAAGGGTTCACAGCCACTGCCGTTGCATCACGAATAGTAAGCAGCGTGTCGATCTCTGTATTTGACATCTCCTTGTCGTCGTAATTCAACATACCCTTGATCCTAACACCCAGACGAATAATGAGTGCCAGATTCTGGTCGTAAACCTTCATGTTCTGTAAATATCTACAGGAAAAATAAGAAATAAAGATACCAGCAGTGGGAATTTATTTTCTTTTTTTTGCTCTCAGCAGCTTTTAGATTACGACCACGAGGACACTGATGTTGAAAKAGAAGTTTAACTCTGGTTAAAATCATAAATTGAATACACAAAATGAACACGACATTTATATATTGAGATTCGTTACTGTTAGTTAGTAAAAAGATACAATATAAAGTACGGTATGTATTACTGATTATTTCATACTTGATTCAGTTTTCTTTGTTATTCATAGTGTTGTATCTCGCTTATTCCCCAGCTCGTTGCGTATTCAAGTGCTTTATATCGAAGTTTCAGGGATATATCTAGATATTGCCCCCATTTGAGGGATGTATCTATATATTGCCCTTGAATACTAATGTATATTGCCCTTGAATACCTAATTAACTACTACGTTCAACTTAGAAATTTTCCGTCTGAAACTTTAAACTTGAAAGAAAGAAAGAAAAAATCAATTGACACCAAGTAGATTCGAACCCACAAACTTAGCTTTGAAAATCCTATTCTTAACACGTTATGCTAACTGACTAATCGATGTCAGTTATGGAATAAAACAGTTATTTAACATTGTCCAGTTACTTGTTACAAAAGGTGTATTGTTAGCATTGGTCTCATGGGACTAACGAGAAAATTGGTTATGCAAATTATTCCCGTTGGGAATTTTCAATACTGTAAATTTCGTAATCTTTCTAATCGAGGGTTTGGTTTTTAATTCATATGAAAACGGCTTCTTTGCCTATTTAAAAATGAAAATATYAAWKCAGTGCTTGGAAAACKTCTTCAAGTATGAAATAAGCCAGTTACATACCTCGAACGTCGGTATGTAACTCTTACATAAAGTGCCCTTTTTTAAATAAACGCCGCCCCCTAATAGACGCCGCCCTCGAATCAACGCCGCAGCTGAATCGTGAAAAATGAAATAAACGCCGCAGCGTCTATTCGAGTAAATACGGTACCGATGGCCGTAGGGAAAGGTATAGAGTGATCACTTTTCATCGGACTGTAAAATAGTTCCTACGCTAATAGACGCTAGTAGACTCTACACCCATTGCTGTCTATTGTAATTTATACAACTTTTCAGTAAAATCAGACGTTTTGATTGGTTGGCTTTCGTGTGTTATCAAAGTATAGATACACGGATTACGTCAAAACTAATTGTTTGTTGTATATCGTAATAGTCGCGTAGAGACAAAAAACAAGAGACAAAGTTTAATAGCGATAAATACACCAACGTATGTTTCATTGGTTAATGAAAACCACTCTAATTAAACAATAGAAAACTATGTAGTTATTGACTGAGTGGGAGGGCCATACGGGAAAATATTTGGCTCGAGGTTATGCCGTACAAATGACCGAGAGCCAAATATTTTCACATACGGCACGACCTAACTCAGTCAATAAGCATTTTATCATATGACAGCGTTTTTCAATGTAAAAATAAAAAATAAAAGCGCGCGGAACTTCAAGCCGGGAAGATACGGGTTTGTACGGACCTGTCGCGAAAAAGCGTACGAACCCCGTCACGTGACCATTTCCCGAAGGTTTCAGGAAGAGCGCGCGTAGGGCCGAAATACGGGTCATATGGTTGGTCATATGATAAAATAGAATTAGCATAATTTAGCAGTATTTAGTGGTATTTATGTTGCACACTTTTAGTGTTTGTACTCTAGTAATTATTTCACAGATGGATGAAAATGACTTTAAGGTAGTTTTTGGTAAATTAGGCAAAACAGGTTCTTATAACTTCAATGAAGTGATACATCTAATTCATAAATAGTTGTCCAATAACAAGAACTTTTGCTATTTAGAAATTAGTTCAAATATAAAATTAAAATATTGGTCATCTTCTAAAAGAAGTAATGCAAAGATTCAAACTAAACTAAGGACGTTTCATTGCCAGGAATGAGTCAGTCTTTTTTTCAAAACAGTTTTAAAAATATATTGTGTTCTACATTTTTTTCTTTGGTTTCTTAAATAATTCTTAGAGCTGGCTAGGCCTTCAACTCAATCAATGCAACATATTATTTTATTTTTTCAGTTTTATTATGTCAGTAACTGAATTTACTTTTAATCTAATCTTACTTTAACTTGACAAATTTCATATGRTCTGGTTTTATTGAGACCTTGAGGTTTTTGAAGAATTCATAGTTGCCCACATAACTTGACATTTTCCAAACTGYGTGTACAAGACGTTTTTCAAACAGTGAACAAATTCTTTATTAAACAAATCAAATATTTCCTTTCCTTAAAAACTTCTGAGAGCCACCTTATAGCCAATGCAGTTTATACAATACAAGAGCTATCATAAGTTATACATTACAAAAAGACTCCCTTACTGAAATATCAGACTTAACCACACTGCTCTTACACATAATAATAATTATTAGTTTAGTCGACTTTAACAATGCTGTAGATTTTGCGAATGAAGAAAAAGCAGGAGAAAAAGCCAACAGTACCTGGAAAAAAGCAATGATACAAATTTCAATCACTAGATGACATATGTGTTGAACATTTCAACTCTTTAGGTGACATATATTTGATAAATTTCCCAATATAGCATTATTTAACATAAATTAATACAGTCTAGCCAACAAAGTATATGGGATTAGGGATCGCTGTTATTTTGGAGATCACTAGGTTCATATTTTTGTCATTTTTTAGGCTTGGGGATCAGAGTTTTAGATTTGGAATTAGAATCACAGTCATGTAACTGGGACCACAAAAGTTATCAAAATTTCCCAATTTTCGAGATCAAAGATCAGACTCTTTRCCCTGAGATCTCTTAAAATATTAAATATATACCTTTTATCTTCTCTGATAATTTTTTTCAATTCCATACTATTTGACATATGCTTAATATAGGAGAATATGATGTGATAATTTTGAAATATAAAAAAAATGGTTTTGATGAAGTTATCTAAAAGCTGCTTCTAGTATTTCAAATTTGTCATTCATGCATTATTGTTCTCTTTACCTGAGAACAAAAAGAATAGCCAGACCATAATCAAAGTGTAACCAAAGTAAAGAAATGTACTTGCTGTGCCACTGATGGTTAGCTTGGTATAAAAGAAATGGATTGCGTACAGGAAAAAATAGAAGGCAGTACATCCACCAGTCAGGAATGACCTCCACCACCAATGATAATCCTTAACAATAATAGAGCACAYTGATTATCTTTATTAGGGAACAGTCAATAGCAACACTTATGATAGAATTTTAATTACCACTCAACAATCTGTTTTGCTGCAAAATGTAATAACTMGAACAAGATGTTCTAACAATGCAAACCACCAGCCTTTTTTGAAAATTTTGATATGGCAGTCTGCATGTCATGAATTTTGTCTGGGCTGACTGCATACCAATGCGAACAACGGTGAAATCTGACTAAATAAAGCTTTAAAAAGGAAGCACAGATACTATTTAAAACAAATCTCCACAATCAGTACACCAATTGTCATTGAAAATGTTCCAATAACTTCTGCAAAGGAAGTTGTGCATTCTRATTWATAACTACTCTCAAGAAAAAGGCAGTTTTGTTACAAAAGAATTAAAAGGTCATTATTYGCATGATAACAAACTGAACAATCAATAGTCATTGAGTGAGAAATGTTTTTATAACAATTATTTATTGGCACAGTGAAGAGGCAAAGTTTCATCAATCAGTTTCAGTTTGAAATATTTTGTACTCAATATTMTAAGCTCAATATGACATATAGTTCTTTGCTAATTGTGGATCTTACCTCAGCACAAAGATGAAAATAGCATAGAAGCATTGCAGTCTCAGAAACAGTCAGCACAAGAATGAGACATACAACAAATAGGAAACCAAACATGTAATAGATTTGGTGAGACCTTGAAAAAAGGAGAATACAAATTATATCATCTTTTGTTTAAAGCATCTCATTATAAATAAACTATTCAAACAAAAACCAACCAAACAAACACCTGATGACTGATAAAAGCAAATCAAAAACACTTACTATACACATCAAATAATAAAATACCAATAWTAATTTCAAGGTATACAACAAATATAGAATTTTTGGATACTGAAGATATAGTGTATTTTAAGATCGAAATTCATTTTTGGTCTTTCTATCAACGTTTAAAAAGAGTTTTTCTTTTGTAGTTTTGACTACAACATCTCCATACAGTCAAGAACTTTAATTCAAAGCAATTAAGATTTGAATTGTCATTTTGTTACACAGATAAGGTGGAGGTTAATAGCAACAATGCATTGCTTTCTTGGAATGCACTATGTAGTAAAAAGTTTCAGTATTTAACATTTTCTGAAATAGCTGTATACAATGCTTACCAAATACTGTTCAAAATAAAAAACAGTTGAATAAATATGCATCCAAAAGGCAAGATACCACCCATTATAATCCCTGGCAATGGTCGGGTGTAAATGCTCTAAGAATCAGCAAACACAAAAAAACACCATTAATAATATAATAATTTTCTTTAAATACAAAGATTCGATTGAAAAGTGATATTATCATTTCTACTATCAGGTATAAAATTTATTGTAGATCTACTGATCAAAATTGAGCCTTTTTATGGTGAGCTGATCATAATATTYGATTGAACAGTCTTTGATCTTAATAAATTATTACCTGATCTGGAATCTGCCGTGGGATCTGGTTAGTTCTTACAGGTTGTTCAATAGGCAGTTTTTTGAAACCAAGATATGCACCCAAGAATGTGAGAGGGACAGAGATTCCAAACCTGAAACAATGATCATAATAAACATGCCAACCATATATATAATAAATAAACCAATTTGTAATAATGATGGACAATTCACATGACAATAGTTCTATACCTATTATACAAGCATATGGCTCGTACAGAAAGTAGTTATTTCAGTTCTGGACACTTATTGCTAATCAAAATTACTAGTCAGTTATTTTTGAATCAGTCTATATGGTGATCTAAAAATATTCCTATTGTTATTAATTCTTGCACTTCATTTGTTTGAGTTACTTCACAACCTYGTCAGAATTCATTTGAATCTTTTCAGAATGTGGTGACAACTTTGTATATCTGAAATACCAAAATTGCTACCATAATTTTTCACTGCACTTCAGTAAATCATTCCAATTTATCCTCTATGATAACTGCAGCATAAAAAGTGTTCAATATATAATATACAGTCAATCTCCTAATCTTTGTTATAAATACATCAATATGTTAAGACAATAACAGAGTCATTTGCATAATTATATCATACATTTTTTTTAATGTCTTTGCAAGAATATTCAACATAAAGTGAAACATTTAACAAAACAGTTTAAAGTTAGAATTAAATTCTTGGGATTTAAAAAACATTTAAATTATGCAAATGACTTTAAGGTTGTCTTTGTCTTTAAACTGAACAATGGTAATTGATTGTAAAATGATAATCAAACTGCATCTTACCACAATGCCAGGAGTGCCAATAGTGTAGTAAAAGGAACAGCTGCTGAAGAGCCCTCTACCCATAGAACAAGATTAAGTATAAAGAATATGCCAAACACAACCCTGAAATCGCATAATTAGACAACAATTGTGATGACCTTAAGATAACAGGAAACTCGATAAATGGAATAATGGAGGGTTAGGGACTATAATATGAGTTAGCAATTTGAAGTTTTCTGTGGATTTCTGAGGTTGGTTTTTGATATTGCTTTTGTTTTTAAGGCAGGTTACAATTATGAAGATATCACACAGTTGTGGAATATTAACTCAGACAAGTCATTGACTGTTTAGCATGTAGATGGTGTTTGGGAAGTGAATGACTGCAGCTACATTTAAATAATAATTATAAATAATAAACTTACACACATTATTATTTTTTTATCAATTTACAGATAATTAAATTTCTAACTTTTGCTGCCCTTTTAATATTGTAACTGCCTCCTATAGACCTTTCATAGCACACTTTTTAAAACTCATGAATTATTCATTAGACATTCTTCCAATGAGCATTCAACTATGGATCACATGACTGAACCTATAAGTAATATATACAATATGAGCGGGCGATCTGTACGAGGATTTAAAACAGCGAGCTGAAA